TTGGTTACGATTGTTATAAGAAAAACTACCGGCCCGTCAGCAATCTCGCATTCCTTTCAAAGATCACTGAAAAGGCAGCTGCACTACAAATCTTTGATCACGTGTCATTCAATCAGATGTTTCCAGAATTTCAATCAGCTTACTGCAAATATCACAGTACGGAGACTGCCTTACTGGGCATGCGCAACGACATACTCGTCAGCATGAACAAACAACAAGTCACATTACTAGTGTTCCTAGATCTAAGCACTGCCTTTGATACAGTAGACCATGATATATTACTGTGGCGCCTGGAATACAAATTTGGAATGAAAGATCAACCACTAACGTGGTTCAAATCCTATCTGTCGAATAGATCCCACCGTATTGTAATTGGCAGTGCAAAGTCAGACAGTTTTCATCTGAAGTTTGGTGTGCCACAGGGCTCCTGTCTCGGCCCAATGCTGTTCTCCCTCTACACTAGTGAACTTTTTGATGTCATTAGCCAGCACTTGCCAACAGCGCACAGTTACGCCGATGATACCGGTATCTATTTGGCATTCAATCCAAACGATGATTCCGATCAAGACGCCGCCATTGCGGCAATGGAAGCGTGCCTCTCTGACATCCGTAGCTGGATGATCAATGACAAACTCATGATCAGTTATTCCAAGACTGAATTTATGCTCACTGGGACGAAGGCGCAGCTATCGAGCTCGAATAGGCTCTGAGTCAATGGGGCCTCATGGGCTATTGACTCAGACGCCATGAGGGCGAGAGGAATAATTGTATTAGTAAAATCCAACTAGTTGGTCAAAAATATCGAGAATAAAAAATTTTTAGCTTGCTAAAGCTAGACTTGCAACCAGGGGTATTACAACTGGAGGTTCTTACAACCAGGAGTCTTAAAACCCGGGGTTCCTTCAACCAGGGGTCTTACAACCAGGGTTTCTTACATCCTGGGGTTCTTACAACCAACGGTCTTACAACCAAGGGTTCTTAATTACAACCAGGGGTTCTTACAACCAGGGGTTCTTACAACTTGGGGCTCTTACAACCAGGGGTCTTACAAATTGGGGTTCTTACAACCAGGTGTGTTCCAACCGGGGGTCTTACAACTTGGGGTTCTTACAACCAGGGGTCTTACAACTTGGGTTCTTACAACCAGAGGTTCTTACAACCAGGGGTTCTTACAACTAGGGGTCTTACAACCAGGGGTTCTTTCAACCAGGGGTCTTACAACTTGAGGTTCTAACAACCAGGTGTCTCGCAACAAATGGGTTCTACAACTTGAGGCTCTTACAACCAGGGATTCTTACAACCAGGGGTCTTACAACAAGGGGTCTTACAACCGGGGGTTCCTATAACCAGAGGTTCCATCGACCAGTCGTTCCTACAACCAGGGGTCTTACAACTTGGGGTTCTTACAACCAGGTGTCTTACAACCGGGGGTTTTACAACTTGGGGTTATTACAACCAGGGGATCTAACAACCAGGGGTTCTTATCACCAGGAGTAATTCAACTAGGGGTTCTTACAACCAGGGGTTCTTACAATTAGTGGATCCTACAACCAGGAGTTTTAAAACTTGGGGTTCTTGCAACCTGGGGTCTTACAACAAGGGGTCTTACAACTTGCGGTTCCTATAACCAGGGGTCTTACAACGAGAGGTTCTTACAACCAGGGGTTCTTACAACCAGGGGTCTTACAAGTTGGGGGTCTTACAACCAGGGGTTCTTACCAGCAGGAGTCTTACAACCGGGGGTTCTTACAACCAAGGGTATTAAAACACGGGGTTCTTACAACCGTGGGTCTTACAACCAGGGGTTCTTACAACCAAGGTTCGTACAACCAGGGGTCTTACAACCAGGGCTGAGTTGCTCAAAGCATGGTTGGTTTTAACCATTGGTTAAGCAGTATCAAAACCAATACGTTGTCAAGGTATTAAACGCAGGTTAACGCTAACCATGCTTCGAGCAACTGGGCCCAGGAGTATTACAACTTGGGGTTCTAACAACCAGGTGTCTTACGACAACGGGTCTTACAACGTGGGGTTCTTACAACCAGGGGTCTTACAACTTGGGGTTCTAACAACCAGGTGTCTTACAACCAGGGGTTTTACAATTTGGGTTTCTTACAACCAGGGTGTCTTACAACCGGGGGGTTCTTACAACCAGGAGTCTTACAACCAGCGGTCTTACAACTGGGGCTTCTTATAACCAGGAGTTCTATTAACCAGTGGTTGCAACAACAGGGGGTCTTACAACTTGGGGTTCTTACAATCAGGGGTCTTACAACGAGGGGTGCTTACATCCGAGGGTCGTACAACTTGGCGTTCTTACAACCAGGGGTACTTATAACCAGGGGTTCTTACAACCAGTGCTTCCTACAACCAGGGGTCTTACAACCAGGGGCTCTTACAATCACGGGTCTTACAACCAGGGGTTCTTACAACCGAGGGTCGTACAACTTGGGGTTTTTACAAGCAGGTGCCTTACAACCGGGGGTTCTTATAACCAAGGGTTCTTACAACCAGTGGTTCCTACAACCAGGGGCCTTACAACTTAGGGTTCTTACAAC